TATATATGTCTTTTATTTATTTATTTGTTAAGACAGGGTCTTACTGTGTCCCTCCTGCCTCAGCCTCCAGAATGCTGAGATTACAGGAATGTGCCACCAGGCCTGGCTTAGATTTTCAACATACAGAGATGACCATGTTGTTTATGAATAAAGACAGTTTTATCTCTCCTTTCCCAAGCAAGATGCTTTTTTTTCTTTTCAGTGCCATATTGCACTGGCTAGTATCTCTAATTTGGTGTTGAGTGGAGGTGGTTTTGTCTTGTTCCTAGTCTTAGGGTAACTATGATGTCTACCTGAGATATTTCATACATGCTCTGAGGGCAAGTCCCCTCTATTCTGTAGCCCCAGGTGGCCTGGAATGCACTATGTAGACCAGGCTGGCCTTGAACTCACAGAGATCCACCTGCCTCTGCCTCCCAAGTGCTGGGATTAAAGGTATGTGCCACCATGCCCGGCTTTCTTTCTTTTTAAAAATATTTTATTTTTTTGTCTTTTTGAGACAGGGTCTCCCTGTAGCCCCAGCTGTCCTGGAACTCACTATGTAGACCAGGCTGGCCTTGAACTCATGGAGATCCACCTGCCTCTTCCTTCCCCGAGTGCTGGGATTAAAGGTGTGCGCCAGACACCTGGCCCAAAAATATTTTATTTATTATTTTTACTTTATATGTATGAGTGTTATGACTGCAAGTATGTAAGTGTACCTGTGTTGTACAATGCATGCGGAGGTCAGAAGAGGGTGTCAGATCCCTTGGAACTGGAGTTGCTGACAGTTGTCTGCCATGTGGGTGCTGGGAATCAAACGAACAGTGCTGTAACTGCTGAGCCATCTCTCCAGCCCTGAAGTTGCATTTTTCTAAATGCTCTTTCCACATCTATTGAGATAATAGTATGGCTTCTCTGTTCGAATCTGTAAATATGGTCAACATTGATTGTCAAGTGTTAAACCAATCTTTCATTCCTGGTAGAGTCCCCATTGAGGATGGTCTGCTACTCTTTTTATATATTGTTGGATATGGTATTAGGCTTTTGTGTCCCTCAGTCCTGTCTCAGAAAGTTTTAAAAAGGAAATACAGGCCGGGTGTGGTGGCACACGCCTTTAATCCCAGCAGCACTTGGGAGGCAGAGGCAGGTGGATCTTTGTGAGTTCGAGGCCAGCCTGGTCTACATAGTGAGTTCCAGGACAGCTGGGGCTACAAGGACACCCTGTCTCAAAAAAAAAACAAAAAAAAACAAAAAAAAAAAGGAAATACGGTTGATTTTTGTCTAGGGTCCTGCAACCTTGCTAAATATTTATATTAGTTTCAGTAGTTTTTTTAAAGTTTTTTTAAATTGTGTGTGTGTGTGTGTGTCTGTGTCTGTGTCTGTGTGTCTGTGTCTGTGTGTGAAAAGCAACTTGAACCAGCAAAGGTTTATTTTGGCTCATGGTTTCAGAAGCCACGGTCAGTCCTTTGAAGTAAGGAGGGTGTGGAGAAGCAGCTCAGCTCATATCATGGAGAACAGGAAATAGGAAACAGGGAGATTCAGGAAGGGGCCTGGGCCAGTGATGTCCCAGAGGCTACCCCCCCGACACACACAGTTACCTGCTTCCTCTAAACACTCTATTTCCTGTTTTTTATCACTTCCCAATAATGTTATGTTACAGACCCTTCCAGGAATTAATCCATTGACCAGGTCAGAGCCCTCAGGACCAAATTGTCTCTGGAAATGCCAGTACAGACACACACATACCAAAGTACACTTTGTTAATAACAAAATCAAGTTGAAAATCCAAATTAACCACCTCAGCTATGCAAGCCTGAGGACCTGAGTTCAACTCCCCAGTACCCACATGAAATCCAAGCACAGCAGTTGCGTGTCTCTAACCCCAGGCACTCATCCTTTAGGCTTCAGCTGCCCTCCTTCTCCTGATCGGGGCAGCAGACCGGCTATAGGGCCAGGATCTCAGCTCTGCACCATCAGACTTGCCACATTCCATAGACATTGCTCCTCTCCTCCCAGAAACAGGCTTGTGTAGCTGGCATGACTGACTCCAGGTTCAGTGACAGACCAGGCCTCAAAAGACAATGAGGAGAAGCTGGGTGTGGTGGTGCACGCCTTTAATCCCAGCACTGGGGAGGCAGAGGCAGGTGAATCTCTGTGAATCTGAGGCCAGCCTGGTCTACATAGTGAGTTGCAGGCCAGCTGGGGCTACAGGGATACCCTGTCTTAAAAAAGAAAAGAAGAAAACCCACCACTGCAGACGTATGCATCTGCCTGTGGGCATATTTTTGTTTCTCTTAGGTGAGCATCTAGCAGTGGGACAGCTGGTTTATATGGGAGATTGATACTCAACAATATAAGAAATTGCTGCTGAACCTGGTGGTGTATAATCTAAGTTATGTGGGAGGATCAAGAAGTTCAAGGCTAGCCTTAGCTACATAGCAAGTTTGAGGCCAGCCTGGGTTATATGAGGCCCTGTTTTTTGTTTTTTTTAAGAAAGAAATGTGGTGGGGCACGCCTTTAGTCCCAGCACTCGGGAGGCAGAGGCAGGCGGATCTCTGTGAGTTCTAGGCCAGCCTGGTTTCCATAGGAAATCCAGGCCGCTACAGGGAGACCCTGTCTCAAAAAGACCAAAAAAAAAAAAAAAAAAAAAAAAAAAAA